GACGGCGGAGGCGAGGAAGGGGGCTGTTTCGGCGGCGGCGGTGAGGGCGGCGGTGATGACGGTGGTGGCGTCGAGGGCGGCGGGGATGGTGGGGGCGGCGACGGCGGAGGTGAGGACGGGAGCTGGCTCGGCGGCGGCGGTGAGGGCGGCGGGGATGGTGGGGGCGGCAACGGCGGAGGTGAGGACGGAGGCTGGCTCGGCGGCGGCGATGAGGGCGGCGATGACGACGGCGGTGGCGTTGAGGGCGGCGGGGATGGTGTGGGCGGCGACGGCGGAGGCGAGGAAGGGGGCTGGTTCGGCGGCGGCGGTGAGGGCGGCGGTGATGACGGTGGTGGCGTCGAGGGCGGCGGGGATGGTGGGGGCGGCGACGGCGGAGGTGAGGACGGGGGCTGACTCGGCGGCGGCGGTGAGGGCGGCGGTGACGACGGCGGTGGCGTTGAGGGCGGCGGGGATGGTGGAGGCGGCGCCGGCGGAGGTGAGGAAGGGGGCTGGCTCGGCGGCGGCGGTGAGGGCGGCGGTGACGACGGCGGTGGCGTCGGGGGCGGCGGGGATGGTGGGGGCGGCGACGGCGGAGGTGAGGACGGGGGCTGGCTCGGCGGCGGCGGAGAGGGCGGCTGTGACGACGGCGGTGGCGTTGAGGGCGGCGGGGATGGTGGGAGCGGCGGCAGCGGAGGTGCGGACGGGGACTGGCTCGGCGGCGGCGGTGAGGGCGGCGGTGACGACGGCGGTGGCGTTGAGGGCGGCGGGGATGGTGGGGGCGGCGACGGCGGAGGTGAGGAAGGGGGCTGGCTCGGCGGCGGCGGTGCGGGCGGCAGTGTCGACGGCGGTGGCGTTGAGGGCGGCGGGGATGGTGGGGGCGGCGACGGCGGAGGTGAGGACGGGGGCTGGCTCGGCGGCGGCGGTGTGGGCGGCGGTGACGACGGCGGTGGCGTTGAGGGCGGCGGGGGTGGTGGGGGTGGCGACGGCGGAGGTGAGGAAGGGGGCTGGTTCGGCGGCGGCGGTGAGGGCGACGGTGACGACGGCGGAGGCGTTGAGGGCGGCGGGGAAGGTGGGGGCGGCGACGGCGGAGGTGAGGACGGGGGCTGGCTCGGCGGCGGCGGTGAGGGCGGCGGTGACGACGGCGGTGGCGTTGAGGGCGGCGGGGATGGTGGGGGCGGCGACGGGGGAGGTGAGGACGGGGGCTGGCTCGGCGGCGGCGGTGAGGGTGGCGGTGACGACGACCTCTCGCTGTGCAGCTTCATGAGCCAACGAGATCACGTGGCCGCGCCGTCCGCCGGTTCGGCGCAGTGTTGCCGGTTCGAGGCTACCTGAGGCACTCACGGAGCGGCGGCCAAGTCCCGTGGGGGTCGTGATCCCAATGCCCTGCACCGGAAGCAATCCCCAAGCCTCGCTGAAGTCGTGCAGACTGATCATTCCATCGCAGCGAGGAGGTCCAGGAAGTTGCCGCGCGAGGCCGCTGCTGAGGCCACCATCGTGTGGGATCGTGACCGCCGACCAGCAGCCCACGCGTAGCGCGACCCTTGGGCAGGATGAAGTGAGGGCATTTGGTTCTCGCTGAAAGACGCAGAATTTCACCTGTGCCACAGCATGGGGAGGACGGTTCATGTCCGCGCTGCGATTGACCCCGAGCAAGTCGCACGGGCCCGATCGACTGGCAGCGGAGTCGAGGACCGGCCGTGACACCAAGCTCCACGGCAGCAGGATGAGCAGGGCCACCATTATACGCCGCCCAAAAAGGCGGCGCCCGTCGGACCTAGCTACAATCCACCTTGCAGATTACTACACACCACACAATCCACCTTGCAGATCACTACACAGACACAATCCACCTTGCAGATTACTACGTACGCACCACACAATCAATCAATCCACCTTGCAGATTACTACGCACCACACAATCCACCTTGCAGATTACTACACACCACACATCCACCCCGCAGATTACTCACCTGCAAATCCGAGTCACTTGTAGTGAGCGTCGGGCTGGTGGTTCGACACCGAGTTTGAAAGTCTGTTTCTCTACGTCTCTCTTCACAGGAAAATCCTGTGAAGAAAAGCGGGAGAAAAACAGA